CTTGGGAGCCACTTGGGCCGTCTAGGGCCATCGTGGAGTCTTCTTGGGCGGATTCGGAGTCATCTTGGCGCCGTTTTGGACCGTCATGATGGCTTCTTCGGCAAACTTGGGGGCACCTTGGACCATCTTGGGCCATCTTGGAGGCCATCTCGGGCCGACGTGACCATCTTAGCGGCCATCTTGATTGTCTTGGAGATTTGTTTTGTGGTCGTTGTGCACATTCATGATCCCTTTCGGGTGGCCAGCGTGCTGGGCCGAAGCCCCAGGGGCAGTTCATTGGAAAAAAAAAACAAAAACCAAGACCGTAAGAAATCCAGCATTCTGGGCACCCCTGTGGCAAGCCAACAGGGGGCGGCGGATAACGGAAAGCGCGCAAGGGAAAAGTGGGGGGTTGGCAAATGGCCAAACATTTAGTTCCCCACATTCTAAGTAGGGTTTCGATTTTCTCTACACCCGCGTCGCACCCGCGTTCACTCACCTCCCCTTTTCTACACCCGCGTCACACCTGCGTTCCCACCTCACCTCCTCCTTCTCGTTCACACACTCGCACACAGCCGCACGCATTCACACATTCGCACATACAAGACGCATGTTCACTGCATCATACACCCAAGACGTCTGCACGACATACTGGGCAACACGTGAGATATGTCCCGATATGGCCGCACACGCATCATACACATACACACGGCAAGCCATGCGGCAGGCGAGCAGGCGTGGCAATTCCTCGACACCATAGGGGGTGCGCAGAGGGTGGTCCCTTAGCGGGGGCTCTATCCGTGACACGCTCGCAGGGCGTGGCAGGCGCGGCACTTTCTCGACACCACTGGGGGGGCGCAAAGGGTGGTCCCTCAGCGGGGCCTCTATCCGTGACACGCTCGCAGGGCGTGGCAGGCGCGGCACTTTCTCGACACCACTGGGGGGGCGCAGAGGGTGGTCCCTCAGCGGGGCCTCTATCCGTGACACGCTCGCAGGGCGTGGCAGGCGCGGCACTTTCTCGACACCACTGGGGGGGCGCAAAGGGTGGTCCCTCAGCGGGGCCTCTATCCGTGACACGCTCGCAGGGCGTGGCAGGCGTGGCACTTCCTCGGGGGGTGCGCAGAGGGTGGTCTTCTCTCGAGGTGGGGGGGCGCAGAGCGGTATCCGTGACACGCTCGCAGGGCGTGGCAGGCGCGGCACTTTCTCGACACCACTGGGGGGGCGCAGAGGGTGGTCCCTCAGCGGGGCCTCTATCCGTGACACGCTCGCAGGGCGTGGCAGGCGCGGCACATTCTCGACATCACATGGGGGTGCGCAGAGGGTGGTCCCTCAGTGTGGCCTCTATCCGTGACACGCTCGCAGAGCGTGGCAGGCGCGGCACTTTCTCGACACCACTGGGGGGGCGCAGAGGGTGGTCCCTCAGCGGGGCCTCTATCCGTGACACGCTCGCAGGGCGTGGCAGGCGCGGCGCATTCTCGACACCACATGGGGGTGCGCAGAGGGTGGTCCCTCAGTGCGGCCTCTATCCGTGACACGCTCGCAGATCGTGGCAGGAGTGGCACTTTCTCGACACCACAGGGGGTGGTCCCTCACCGCGGAGTGGCGCTTTCTCGATCGTGGCAGGAGAGGCCCCATAAAGGCTGCGCAGGGGGTGGTCCCTCACCGCGGCCGCCATGCGCGACGGTCGTCCAGGGCATAGCAGGCGTGGCACTTTCTCGACACCATAGAGGGTGCGCAGGGGGTGGTCCCTCACCGCGGCCGCTGGCTGGCTCGAATCTGTCCTCGATGGAGGATAGAAGGCTAGGAATAGGGAGGAGGTTCAAGCAATATGGCGTTGGATGACACAGAGGGGAACATTCGCGACGAGGGCTGAGAACGCAGATTTGCGCATATATGATAAACTTAAGCAAGCACATAAGATTTAAATTAAGTATGTGGGGTTCCTCGGTAGCGTAATTATTTTTGGCCCAATATGGCCCAAGTCAGTCCCAAGAGCGCTTCAGAGGCCCCCAAGACGGGCCAAGACAGCCCCAAGAGCGCCCAAGCTACCTCCATAACGGCGTCGGAGAGGTCCAAGAGGGCCCGAAGATGGCCCATGAGCGCTCAAAGAGGGAGGCCCAACATGGCTTCGAGACGACGCAAGAGGCCTCCAAGACGCCGCTGGAGGCTCCCAAGGGTACCCCTCGTCCCATTCCCTTTGGTAGACGTGCATTTATAGTAGATTAGCTTCTCTGGTCTTCACGATGTCCAAGTTGATTCCCCTATGGTTTTTGAAGTTTTTTCGGGTTCTCACCTTTTCGGGTCCATAAGGGCCCAAAATTGCCCAAGAGGCCCTCAAGATCGTCACAAGACGGCCCCAGAGGCCCCTAGAGGAGCCAAAACCGGTCCAAGAGGGCGCCCGGAAGGCTCCAAGACGCCTCCACGAGAGCTCCAAGAGGGCCCCACGAGGCGCCCAAGAGGGCCCGAAGAGGCGGTGTAGGGACTGGGCTGCCTGGGTGCGGGGCCTGGGCTGACACCAAGCCGGTCCAAGAGGGTACCCAGACGGCACAAGATGGCCCCAAGAGAGCCCCAAAAGGGCCCAAGAGGCTCCCAAGAGGACCCGAAGAGGCGGTGTGGGGACTGGGCTGCTTGGGTGTCGGGACTGGGCTGGCCCCAAGACGGCCCAAGAGTCCCGAAACGGCCCTCAAGAGGGGTCCTAGAAGACGCCCCGGAGACGCCAAGGAACACCGTGGCTCCCAATGGCGAACAGTGACGTGACAAGCTCTGAACAATAATGCTCCCCAGAGCGCGGTGACGTAAAAGGTTCTCAACAGCAAGGCTCCCAAGAGCGAGCGGCAACGTAGAAGTCTCTGAACATCAGGGCTCCCAACTGAGAGCGGTGACGACGCAACAAGTCCTGAACGTCAAGGCTCGCAAGAGCGAAGGGCGCCATGAGCCATCCCGGACCAGTTCCTGCAGCGCTCTTTCTGTTCACTTGCCGGCCCAGGTGACGGGACGAGCGAGGTACGAGCGATGTACATTGAGTTGGGGCGAAGCCCTCTAGGGAGGGGTCCAGGGGAGGGGCGAGGCAGCGGGGGATTGGATGTAATGGCCGCCCGTCGTATTTGTTCTAGTGAAGCGGCTCCCGGGCGGCTTTTCTTTGTATTTTGTTCTAGTGCAGCGGCTCCTGGGCGGCTCCCATGGCCTGTTCCCTGTATTTTTTCGAGTGAAACGGCTTATGGGCCCCAAGAGGGCCCTCAAATTGTCAAAGACTGCCCCAAGATAGCCTCATATGGCCTCCGGACGGTCCCAGAGAGCCTCAAGACGGCTCCAGAGACTCTCCAGAAGGCCCCCGAGAGGGCCTGAGGAGGTCAAAAACATTGAAACCCGTACGGTTTTTGAAGGTTGTTCGGGTTCTCACCTTTTCGGGTCCAGAAGGGCCTCAGACGGCCCAAGAGGCCCCACAGATCGTCCCAAGACGGCCCCAGAGGCCCCCCAGAGGAGCCGAAAACAGTCCAAGAGGACCCCCAGACGGGCCCAAGACGGCCCAAGAGGCCCAAAAGATCGTCCCAAGACGGCCCCAGAGGCCCCCCAAAGTGGCCGAAAACGGTCCAAGAGAGCCGCCAGACGGCCCAAGAGGGCCCCCCAAAGGCCCAAGAAGGTCCCACGACGCCTCCACGAGAGCTCCAAAGAGGCGGTATTTTTGGGGATTGGGCTGCTTGGGCGTGGTCCCAAGACGGCCCAAGAGTCCCAAAACGGCCCTCAAGAGGGGTCCTAGAAGACTCCCAAGAAGCCCCGGAGACGCCAAGGAACACCGTGGCTCCCGATGGCGAACAGCAACAAGGCTCCCCAGAGCGCAAGGCACCCAAGAGCGAGCGGCAACGTAAAAGTCTGTGAACACCACGGCTCCCGACAGAGAGCGGTGACGCAACAAGCTCTCAACGCTAAAACTCCCAAGAGCTAGCTCAAGGTGCCATGCACCATCTCGAGCAAGTTCCTGCAGCGCTCTTTCGTTCCCGTGCCGGCCAAGGTTGAATGGCCTTCGGCCCATCCCGCCACCGTGCCTGAGTTGTGGGTCTGAGGCCTCTTGGATGGTCGTTGCGATCTCGTCGAGGCCTCTCGGGGGCCTCCTGGAGGCAGTTGTGAAGGCCTCTGGGGGGCTGCTTTGGGGCCTCTTGGGGGCCTCTTGGGGCCTCGCGGGGACCTCTTGGGGGCCTAGGGGCTTCTTGGAGGCCTCTCGGGGTCTCCTGGGCGCCTGTTGTGGCGGAAGGCTAGGACTTGCGGTTCGTGCTCCACCTCTTGGGCCCCTCTTGGGGCCGTCTTGGGCGCCTCTTGGGCCGTTTTGGGGGTTTCTTGGGACGTCTTGGAGCGTGGAACATGGAAAAGTTGAGAATCCCAAGCATTGAAAATCCAATTGAGCATAAATGGTGTTGGCCTCTCGGTGCCCTCTTGGGATAGCTCTTGGGGGGAGTCTCGAAGTCTTCTTGGGCCGTCTTGGAGCCATCTTGGACGACCTGGAGCGATCGTTCGGCGATTCGAGGCCCTGTTGGACCGTCTTGGGACCTTCTTGGCCCGTCTTGGGACCCTCTTGGGGCACTCGTGAGCCCAAAACAGATCATGCGGGAAGACGCCCCGGGCACGCGCCAAGCCCCAGAAGATTGACAACAAGAGTCAAGAAGTTTCATGATCGAGGACTCAGGCTCAAGGGATTTTGCAAAGGACCTGAGGACACGCCCACTGCGTGCCCAGCGGCACGGTGGCGGATTAATACGCCGGCGACGGACGAAAACGGGGCCGCCGGGCGAACAGAAGGGCCAAGTTCCTCAATTAGAAGGCAAGTGGAAACCCTTACGCCTTAGTTGCAAGCACTGCTTGGTAAACATGAATGCGGTGCCTGTGTGAAGTCACGTCGAGCCAGCGGCAGCGCGGGGCCAGCAAACACCCCGATTGAGGAGATTGTTCGGCATATGCGCCCAAATATGTCAAGGAAGCGCGATGCAACTTACTTCGTCCTTACTTGTCCATCGGTCCGCATGTGGCCCAGGCAGCCCTCGTGGCTGGAGCCCAGCCGGCCGGCCCCCGGCCGCTCAGCGGCCCGCGCCTCGCGAGGCCTCGGGGCCATGGCGCGCGGGCTGCAGCAGGGGCCGCCAGGAGCGTCCAGCGCCGCGCCCGGCGGCCTGGCGTCTCTTCTCCGCGTCAGGATCGGGGGGCGGCCCAAGAGACGAAGAGAGGGGGTGATGGTTTGGGGGGAGTTTTGGTTCGTTCCTGGAGGTTTTCGGTGGTGTTCATGGTCTCTCCGCGGTTCTCTGGCCACGGGGCGCTTTCCAGCAGCTGCGCCTCATCGAGGGCTCTACGGGGGTGCCTGGGTCGTCCCGAACGGCCGCCCAAGGCCCGAGTGCTGACCCGAAGGCCACAGGCGTCGAAGAGGGGGGTGACGATTAGAGAGAGGGATCTCATGGCTAGGGCCACGATAGTTGAAGTTGCCCAGGTTTCATGGCCCCCTCTTTTTCCTATTCTTCTGCTTCTTTCAACACGTCCCCTGGTCCCCCCTCGTTCGCACACGTGCCCTGGGCGATTATTTGCGAACTCCCTTCTTGCATAACCTCAGGAGGTACTATGCGGGCCGAACTTTCGTACAATGGCCGAAAGTCCGTCCAAACGGCGCTCTCGCCTCGGCGCGGGCAGCACCACGCCAGCGTCATTTGCACGCCGTGGCTTATTTCTGAGCGAGGCGTGAGGATGTCTCAGCAGAAGCCGGTTTCTTTGGTTCAGGTGGGGGGGCTGGACAAAACGGGCGAATCACATTCACGTTTGACGAAAGTTAAAATCGCAGCGATGTCTTAGCAGACTGGGTCAGGTTGATTGCCGCCAGTTTCCGTCGAACGTGTGCGGAGCAAGGGGCCGACTGTCATAATGGATCCTTGTGCAGGCATTTGCTTGTCTCGTGGAGGATGTTGTGGAGCTTATGCCAATCCTTTACGTCGTGAATTATTGTTATCCGTGTCGTTCCTCCGCCTACTCACTCTCTTCTCCCTCCTCCATCCCACGATCAGAACCATCGCGATGTGACAGGCATAGCACGTGGGCAACACGAGGGGGTGCCGCCAGGGGAAAGGTCTTTTACCCGTTCGTGCACAGATTGTGGGGATGTCGCCAGCGGTTCGCTTGTTTCAAGGATGTAGGCGCACCTTTTTCGGGGCCGCATGGTGTTCCGATGTCGCAGCCATAGCTCTCGGGCACCACGAGGTGGGGTAGGACACTTGCCGTTGGCGCCCAGCATTCGGGGATATCTCACGCGAGCGTTTTTTGTTTTCTTCCAGACCGCCAAGAAGAACACGACTACCTGGGCACCCCAGAGGGTCGGGCACTTGCCCGTTAGTGCCCAGATTGTGGGGACGCCCCTTGCGAACAGGTGTCTTTTAGAAGTTAGAGTTGTGTTTTTCAGGCCGTGGCAATCGTGGTCTGGCAGTCATCACTTTCGGGCGCCACAGCGGGGCGGCCCCAGAAGGTACATCTCGGGTGCGTTCGCGCCCAGATTGGGGGGGACATCTCAATTGAAACTCTGGTTATGGGGACTGTCAACGCGTCTTTTTCCAGGGCCACCTAGAGCCGCGCAGTCGCCGCGACGACATAGCAAACATACGGTTTGGGCACTACAAGGGTTAGCCCAAGGGGCACGGCACTTGCGCGTCAGTGCCCAGACTGCGTGGATATCTCACGCGCAAGGCTGGTTATTGAGAGCCAGACGTGTCTCTTGCCAGGGCCGCGTAGTCATTGCGATGTGAAGGCGAGTAGGATACTTACCCAGTGGCGCCCAAGTTTGGGGGATTCCTCAAGCGAAACTCTGGCTTTTATGGTTTGATTGTGCTTATTAATGTTCAGGGTTGCGTGGTCGTCGTGATGTAGCAGGCGTGGCACATGGGGACCACAAGGGGGGGCCGCTAGGGAGTACATCACGGGCGCTGCCGCGTTCACATTGCGAGGATGTCGCGGCCCACCCAGTCTCTCACAGACACGCTCACTTTCTGACGCTTGCAGAAAGAAATCGCAAGGAAAACTACGCGTCACCTTGTCATTGAGAAGTAGCGTGGGTGAGGAGAGAGAGGATGAGGAGGAGGAGGAGGAGGAGGAGGAGGAGGAGGAGGAGGAGGAGAAGCTCACTGATGCATATATGGGAATCAACCGTGCCGAATCATTTTCCTGCCGTCGCCTGTGAAGCATTTCGTTCTTGAGAGGCTTTGCCTCCGCGGACAGGTGTCCTGTGCAGTCCATGCCCGTCTGAATATTATCCTCCCCCTTTTCTCTCTCCAGCGCTTTCCCGCTCGCTGTCCGGGTTTTCGTTATCCATCTTGGTTCTCTTTGGTTCCTCCGCTTTTTTCTACGATGCCGCGCGAATTTGGCTGGCCATGTGGCCGTCGGGGCGCGCTGCAGTTAGCAACGTTTCGTCCGCCAGGCCTCGTTTGCGGCGGGCTGGTTTGCGCTGCGTTCCAGGCGCATCTAGCGTTGCTCCAGTTCGCCCTGTGCTGCAGCCGTGCGGTGGTGCTTTGCAGCGCGTTCTTTCCCTGTTCCTCCTCACGCCCTTCCTTTCTGCGCCGTCCCCCCCCCGCTTCTTGTCGGCGGATTGGTGTGGGATGGCGCCCCTTCTTTCCCTTCCCCCCGCCTCCCCCGCGGCGGCGCTGCCAGCGCTCCGAGCCCAGTTCGGAGGCGTCCGAGCCCGGCTTCGGCGGTCGACTTGGGCGGGAGGCCTAACGCTGCAACGCTGCCTTGCGAGGGGGTACTTTGCCGCTCTTCCTCTTCCTGATTCGTGCGTTCCCCCTCCTCCGTCCTCGCCAACCCTGCTTTGCCAGTCGCTATCACTGGATGCGCGCATTGCCCCCTGCTCCTGGCGCCCAGGTTGCGAGGAACTCGCAGGCGATAGCGCTGAGACTTTTGGTTGTGTGGTTGGGATTGTTGGTCGATTGGGTCTATGCACCCGTCGTCGTTGAGCGACAGCGTGCAATTGCAAGGTGCGCGTCCTCTCCTTCAGACCTCGCGCCCGCACTGCGACGACGTTTCAGGTGATGCAGTTGTGTTCCATGGTTGGCTGATTGGTTTGTTTGGTCGGCGCACCTCGTACCCGAGCGCTTGGCAGTGGGGGCCGGTTCCCGGAGAGGGCGCACGACGTGGTGTTCATTGGGCCTAAAGTGTTTACCAGTCCTGCGGCGTTCGCGCAGGGTCTGCCTGGCGGCGCGCAAGATCAACTACCACGCGCATCGCGCCCTTTTTGCGGCCTGGGCAGCACAAGCGGCCATGCGGTTCATGTATCGCCCGCGGCCCTTGCGCTTCGCGTTGCCTTTGCGTCTCGTCCAGCCCTTTGCAGGGGGCGCCCATGCGCTTCGCGCGGCCCATGCGGCCTCGCTGGTCCGACGCGGCCCCCCGCCCCCGCATCCCATGCGGATCGCACGGCCCATGCGGATTAGGCGACCCTTGCGTTTCGTGCAGCTCTGCGGTCCATGTGGCGCATGCAGCTCCCGCGCCCCACGCGCGCTACAGTCCACGCGCAAGCGTCGCCCCCGTCACCGCGCCCCGCGCTCTTGCGACAAGGGCGCCACCACCTGCAGGCGTGCTAGGATCTGACTTACACAGTCTGTTCCTTTTTTCCGACTCGCTGCCTCCATTTTCCCATGCGTTCTTTGTACGATTTGAGCACGCTCGCCGTCTCGGTCTTCACAGTCTCCACGGCGGCCCAACATGGCCCCAAGCTCGCCGTAAGACCAAAACCCAAGAGACGCAACCGTATCCCAAACCATGGAGAGGCCAGTGGAAATGGCAAAGGACGCACCGCAGAGGCAAGGACGCGCGTTGACTGTAAACTTTACAGCCGCGGGCATGACTCGCGCGACTATGGTGCGCCTGGCGGCTCCGCGAGCGGCCGACGCACGACTACGGCCGTGCTTCGAGCCAGCGCTGTCCTCGTGCAGAAGGCCGCTTTCTGTCTGGCCGGCGGCCGCCCGTCCAGCGCCGCCACCTACACGCACAGCTGTGCAGGGTACACAGCTTGTCAGGCCCCTATATGCCGCCACGCTGGTTCCGGGCAGGCTGTGCTGTCCGGCGGAAGGGGACGAGGAGGGGAGAAGCAGGCAGACGATGGCGAACGCCCAGGCGGGAGGCCAGGGCCGGCGGGGCGGGCGGGCAGGCAGAAGACGGGCCAGGCGGAGACAGCAGGCAGGGAGCAGGGGGAAAGGAAAGGGAGGGAAGCAACGAGCAGAAGCGAAGGGAGGGGGAGGAGGGGGAGGAGGACAAGGAGGAGAGAAAGCAGCGGCCGCAAGCAGACAGGCCGGGCCAGGGGCCGGGAGAGAAGAGCCGCCCGCGACGAGGTTACGGACCCTACGGCGGCGACCTGGGCGGGGTGGCCGCCCGAACCCAGCGCGATGCGGCTTGATGGGGATTGCCCTCTGCGGGATCCATCCACCGCCCCGCTGGGGAAGGGCCGGGCGGCGCGTGGGAGGGGTCGATGGCGCGACGTTGGCGAAAGGGCGCGGGGGGCGGCCGCGCTGCCCAGCAAGGGCGGGGGGGGGGGGGGGCGGGGGGCGCTAGGCAGCGTCGTCGGCCTTTTCGTTGCCGCGCGGATTTGGCTGGTCGTTTGTGGTAGTTGGGGCGCGCTGCAGTTAGCAGCGATCGTCCGCCAGGCCTCGCCTGCGGCGGGTTGGTCCTCGCTGCGCTCCAGGTCCCGCGCCGCCTCCTTCAGCTTCAGCCGCTGCCGTCGTGGTCGCGCCGCCTCCGCTCAGCGTGGCCATTTTCAGCATTTCGGGATGCATGGCTTTTTTCCCCACAGCGTGATTCCTGTGGCGCATTATTCATGTGACGCATCCGCAACCCGCCCTCCCGCCCCCTCGCCACCCGTTGTCCTCGCGCACATTTCATACGCATGGCAGGTCCGCTGACGCCTTGGCGCGCTGACAGTTAATCCCATTCGCAAGCAAACCCGCGGACACCTAGACCCTTTTCAAACCTGACTTAGACTCACTCACACCATTCTCGCACATAGTCATTCAGGTTCAGTCGCGCCCACAGTCAACAGAATTTAGAATTAGGCTCACCGAGATGTAGCCGGCGTAGCAATGCGGTACCCCAAGGAGTTGCCGTCTGGGAGTGGTCGTTTGGTGGAACACACCCTTATGCTTTGACAGACGCGCGAATGCGTAGCATTTGGGCGCCCCGAGGAACAAC